AAGAGACAGAGCTATTCTGGCCCCATGCAGGAGGTTCAAAGCTGGGAGTAAAGGCTGATGGGCTGGCCAGGACACCAAGAAATGAAGCTCTTTATCTATGTCCTCATTTCATCTCCTCAGTAGTCCCCTGAGATAGCTGGGGCAAAAAAAACCATATCTTTATTTTCCAGATGAGAAGCATGAGGCTGAGAGAGGAGGAGTCACCGGGACCCAGCCACACAGTGAGTTATGCCCTCCATGCCGGGCATGTGAGAGCCCAGCTGGCCTTGGTCTTGGGCAGGCGGGAGGCCAGGACAGTGGCAGCACATTACCTTGCTCTGGAAAATTTTAGCCTGAAGCCAGAGTGGCTGTCCCTTTACACATACAGTCATCTTAATCCCTCGTTCCTTGCAGATAACTGCTTATTTCTGAGAATGCTTTCTCAGATGCTCACACTTGTTCGATGAGGTTAAACAGAACAACCCTCCCTATTTCAGGGAAAGGGATGGACGGACACCCCTTGTGGGGTGAAGTGGCCCCCCAAGGATGGCATAGGGCATGGTCATCTGTGGCAGAACAAAAATCCCAGGGGTCGTTCCTCTTGGTCTTGGGTGCTTTCTACTGTTCTAGGTCATGGATAGGGAGGGGTTGTGGGATGAAAAATTCAGCTCTTGGAGCAGAAGTGTCCAAGGGAGCTGACCCTGGGATGGGAGTGAGGGGGGCTCACTTGAGACTGCTTGGTGGCATTTCAGCCTAAAGGATTTCTGTGCAGAAGATGACTGTGTAGGGCTGTTTTTGGATCAGACTGTCAGTCACAGCAGAAGGAGGAAAGTGGACTTAAGGTAAAAGGTCAGACATTCATCCAGCAAGCGTTCACTGCCAGGCCCTGTACTGTGCTCTGGGTAGGAGAGGGGATGGCTAGATAGCAGACTGTTGTTGGGTGGCTCACAGTCTCCTAAAGGCCTTTGGTTAGGGAAGCACTGAAATATTACTGGACAGAAAAATAGGAAGACTAGATATTGTCACCTCTACTTTTTCAAGGGAAGCAGTAGGACATCAGGGTGAAAGCCAGGCCAGGTGGCCTTCCAGCTCTGCTTCTTCTGAGCCGTGTGGCCTTGAGCAACAGTGACAACCACCACTGTGATCACAGTCAACGTTTATTCAATGCTTGGTTTACATTTAGCATGTCACTACTTCTTTGTTCCTCGGTTTCCTCATCTGTAAATTGGAGTGGGTGGGGAATTAATCAACTTCTCAGGGCTGTTGTGGGGCTCAAATGGTACCATGGGGAAAGTTGAGCATGTGCTCAGGTTGTTTGTGAGGCCATAAGGGAGGTCCATATTGTTTGGAAGCTTGGGGGAATCAGGAGAATGTACATTCCTAATGGAGCCAGGTAGTGGGTTGGGGGGGTGATGGTGGTGGCTCTCTTCACTGAGAGGTATGGCATGTGAGCAAGCTTCAAAAGGGAGAAAGAGGGATAAGGAGAAGGATCTTCAAGAGGAGGGCATCTGCCAGGTGCAGTGCCTCACATCTGTAGTACCAGCAATTTGGGAGGCCAAGGCAGGAGGATTGCTTAAGCCCAGGAGTTTGAGACCAGCCTAGGCAATGTAAGGAGACCTCACCTCTACAAAAAATTTTAAAAAAATTAGCTGGTCGTGGTAGTACACACTGCTGGTCCCAGCTACTTGGGAGGCTGAGGTGGGAGGATCACTTGGGTCCAGGAGGTTGAAGCTGCAGTGAGCCATGATTGGGCCACTGTGTTCCAGTCTGGGTGACAGAGTGAGACCCTGTCTCCAAAAAAAAAAAAAAAAAAAAAAAAAAAAAAAAAAGAGGAGGGCATTGTGTGGGCAAAAGTGCGGAGGAGGGAAAGTGTAGGGTGTGTTTGTGGAACAGTCCTGGTGCAATTAATGGCTAAGCCTGGCATCCAGTGAATCACCCAAGGATGCAGTCAACCAGCTCCTTGGCCCTGGGGCCAGCTTTGAGGCCCAGAGACTTCTTTCCCTAACATTGTCTCGTCCAGAGGTGGCTGAGGACAGGGCTAAGGGTGAAGGGAGAGTAATTACAGAGCCCTACTTCTGGGTCTCTCACACCTACCCCTGGAGAGTCATCTGCCAGGAATGTGGCTGCCCCTCCCGGCCTTCTGACCCCCTTAGCTAGGGACCAGAGTTTGGGCATCCCTAGGGAGTGATAAGCCACCAAGCAGGGGTGGCTGTAGGGAGTGTGTAGCTCCCGGCAGGCTGTTGGGAGTCAGTGGAGTTTGAAGAGCAGATGGAGAGAAGGGAGGATGGGTTTAGAGTGAGAGGCTGGGGTCTTAGAAGAAGCGGTAGGTGGGCATGGTGGCATGCACCTGTAGTCCTAGCTACTCAGGAGCCTCAGGCAGGAGGATCACTTGAGCCCAGGTGCTATGATTGCACCACTGCACTCCAGCCTGGGTGACACAGCAAGACCCTGTCACTTAAAAAAGAAGAAGAAGAAAACAGTGACGATGGGGGCTTACATTTGTCAAGCACCTACCATGTGTTGTAACCATCCTATGAGGTATGTATCCTCACTTTACAGACCGGGAAACTGAGGCTCAGAGAGGTGCAGTGACTTGCCGAAGTTTCTTTTTCCAGTCATTCAGCATTCAACCTCAGCACTTATTTATTGAGCAGAGGCTCTGCACCAAGCACTGAGGAGTCAGCGGTGACCACCTCTTGGCTTCTGTCCCCAAGAGTGACAGTGGCCTGAGGTCACACGGGCTCAAACCGAGGTCGCTTTGCGAATGCTCGCTTTGGAGCAGGATGCGAGCTCGGGCCAGGGTTGGGTCAGGTTGCGCGGCTCGCGTGGCCGCGGGAATCCCCGACCGCCCCCTTTGTCTAGGGTCCCTCCTCCCGGGCACCTGCCCCAGGTGAGTCTGGGGAGGCCCCGAGCGCCGCCGGAAAGCGTCGAGCGGCTTCGGTAGCTGGGGCGGGGCCGGGGCGGGGCCGGGACCGAGGAGGGGCCTGGCCCGGCACCCGGATCCCGAGGTCCGCGCCCCGCGCCTAGCGCCGGGCGCCCGGAGCCTGGAGCCGCCGCCATGGGGGCCTGCCTGGGAGCCTGCTCCCTGCTCAGCTGCGTGAGTCCCAACCCCGGCGCCCGCCCGCGCGCGCCGCCCGTTCCTGCTGCGGGCCCTCACTTTCTTCTGTTGTGCTTCGAGTAGTTTCTTCTTTTTCCTTCCTGCAAACTTGTCTTTCTGGGCCGGTGCCCCGCCTGCTCGCCCTCCGGACCCTCACTCGGCACCCCGATCCCGCTGCCCGCGTCCCCCTGCTCAGTCCCGACCGGCAGGCGCCGGGCAGCTGCGGTCCCGGCTCGGGTTTCCGCGGGCAGGAGGCGAGTGCCCTCGGCGGGCGCCCTCCTGGGACCTGGAGAGATTGAGTCTGGAGCCCGGGGTCTGGGCAGCTCTGTGGGCCATCGTCGCCCCACTTGGGACGGTCCTCGGGGTGGCCTCTGTCCCCGTCCCCGACCCCCTGGTTCTGTGTGTGGGTCGGCCGGGCCCCGTCCCTCCTGGCGAGTGCCCTGCCCTGCCCCTCTGGCCGCCTGCCAGTCATTCTGTTCCTGTCGCTCGGGCTCCGCCTGTCCTTTCGTACTTGTCTGGTTCGTGTCTCTGTCCGTCGTTCCTCCGACTGTCTTTGTCCGTCTACTGTCTTCTGTCCGTCAGTCCGTCCGTCCCTCAGTCTCTGCGGTCCCGTCCGCCGTCCTCAGTCTGGCTCGCGCTGCCTCCCAGGCACTTCCCCAGCTCGCCGCGGACCCTCTGGGCCCCAGCGCGGAGACTGGGATGGGAGGGGAGGGAGCCCCGGACTTTCTTAGCTGCCCTCGAGTGAGGAGGGTGCAGGTCGTCACGGACCACCGGGCAGAACTCTGGGTTGGGACAGCAGGAATCGAGGGAGGTTCAGGTGTGCGCGGGGAGTGCCCGGTCGCGGGTTCGGGACCTGGGGGGAGGCCAGCCTCTGTTCTGTGGCTGCAGCCACAGAGGGGAGGGGCTCCAGCAAGACCCCGGCTGGGAGGCCCGTTCTCCCCTCCCTTTCCCCGGCCCCCTCCTTCCCTCTTCCCCTCATTAAATCTGAGGTTCATTCAGGCAGCCCCCTCCCCCTCTGGCCCCACACAAAGAGGCCCTGAGAGGGAGAAGGGGCTCCAGCGGCTGCTGAATCTCGGGACTCGCTTTCCTTTGTCCCTGACGGGTGTGTGTGTGTGTGTGTGTGTGTGTGTGTGTGTGTGTGTGAGAGAGAGAGAGAGAGAGAGAGAGAGAGAGAGAGAGAGGAGGGGATGTAGGGGAGAGCTGGGGGTCTAGAGATTTACTTCACAGCCATTTTCTGAGAATGAGATCAGCATAGACAGGACAGAGAGGCAAGAGAGCCTCTTGCCTCACTAGGCCTCCATTTTTCGTGTGTGTGTGTGCGTGCGTGTGCGTGTGCGGGAGAAGGAATCAAGCTGGTGCCTGAAATCCCTCCCAGACCAAAGAATTCAAGGTTTGGGCCAGGTCTCTGCCCACAAAGGTTTGCTTCCTGGTGAGGGAGGCAGAGCTTCCACAGTGGACCTGATTTCCATCTGTTGCTCCCAGCAGGCTGTTGGGAGTCAGTGGAGTTTGAAGAACAGATGGAGAGAAGGGAGGATGGGTTTAGAGTGAGAGGCTGGGGTCTTAGAAGAAGCAGTAGGTGGGCATAGTGGCATGCACCCTGTAGTCCCAGCTACTCAGGAGCCTGAGGCAGGAGGATCACTTGAGCCCAGGAGATGGAGGATGCAGTGAGCTATGATTGCACCTGGTGAGGCACAGGCCCTGCTGGGCTGGGCTGGCGGTGGAGATGTTGAGGGGCAGCCTGCCAGCCCTGTGTGCCTTGGTCACCCCATCTGGCAGTTGACAGTAACAGGACCTTTCTCACAATGCTGTTAGGAGATGAGGCACAGCTCCTGGCACATCGTAAGTGCTCCCTGTGGGAATTATTGCTAACATCAAGGAAAGGTGGGTGGAGATTTCCATTTGGAGACAATGCAAAGCCAAGTGCTGGTCTCTGAGTCACAGCATTCTACAATGCTGAGAGCAGATAGGCTGGCTCAAACCGTCTGTTTACAGATGAGAAGGCTGCGGCCCAGAGAAGTTAGCTGACTTGCCAAAGGTTGCACAGGGAAAGGATGGAGAACTGCATAGTTAGGGTCAACATCTGATTCCTGGTCCAGGCTTCTGCCCACACCTTCCCTCCTTTCCCCACATCCTGGCTGCCTGAGGCATAGGGTTGGTCCAGGGAAGAATTGGGAGGTAACTTAGTGAGTAATATCAGCAAGGGACCTGGCCCTCCCTTCAGTGCCATCCCCTTGGGGTTCTGGCCTCTGTCATTTACTGAGGTTCTGGCTTCTGACATTTACTGAGCCAGGTACTGTTCCAAGCCCCTCACCATGCCATCTCATTGGCTCTCCCCACCTCCTCCACCCTATGAAATCGTTAGCCCATTTTACAGATAACTATCCCAACACTCGTGGCATGGAGCTGTCCAGCAGTGGCCTAGGCCCCACACTGCAGTGAGCAGTATGTATGTGTGTGTGTGTGTGTGTGTGTGTGTGTGTGTGTGTATATATATCTCCATTTAATCCTCACAACAACCCCACCGGGTCAGTTAATATTGTTCCTGTTTCACAGATGAGGAAACTGGCTCAGAGAGTGAAGGTGACTTCTTCACAGCCACACAGCATTAAGTGGCGCAGTTGGGCACTTCTGGACACCAGTACCATCCTGTTGCAGTGAAGACTTGCTGCACAGGAGTGAAGTTCTATGTGGCATTTCTGGGCAACTTTAGGAGGGACTTTTTTGCATGCATGGGTCAGTGGGGAAGACTTTTGTACCCTCCCAGGTGTGACTCATCTTCTGATTGTGCTTCTCAGCATTGGAACTGGGCTGAAGGTGAACTGGGCTGAAGGTGGGTCCTGCTTTGGATGGGGAGGTAAGATGGGTCCACAGGGGATGGGGCCACCAGGCAAGTCAGCACATGATGACTTGGCCAGTCTGCAAAGAGGGTCTTGTACATCCTAGGGAGTGTGAAAGGCCTTTGGGTCAGACCACTGGACTCGGATTCTAGCTTTGCCTCTTCGCATCTCTGTGACTGTGGGCAGTCACTTGCCCATCCGCTTGTCTGTAAAGTGGAGAGAACAATGGTGTCTGCCCCTTAGCCTGTTGTGAGGATTAAATGGGACTGAGGTTAGTACAGCTGCATAGTTAGCACCAAGCTGGTGTGCAGTGGCCAGTCCATAAACACCCCGCAGTGGTATATGACTCAAGACCACATGCAAGGAAGTGCTGAAGCCAGTGAGACCCAGGGCTGCCTAACTGTAGAGCCTGGGCTCTGAGCCACTGTCCTCTCCTGCCCCAGGAGATCATTTTATAGACGAGGAAACTAAGTCCCATGGAGGGGAGGAGAGACTTGCTTGAGGTCAGACTACAAGTTGTGGCAGAGCCAGCATTAGGACCTGCATTCTTGGCACTGCATAGGGGAAGTAAGTGTACCTTGGGACATTTCCAGCTGACCTCTTCTCTGCTGTGTTTTGACTAGCCCTGGGGTGGCTCAGCCAGTTATGGAGTTGTTCATGAAAGCGGCAAGGTGCACGCTTGCTGGGGCCAGTTTTGCATTTTTTAAATTGTGATGAAATATATGTTTAAAAATTTACTCTTTTAACCTTTTATTTTAGTCTTCAAGGAGTTTGTGTGTTATTTTATTTTACTTTACTTTATTTTTTTGAGATGAAGTCTTGCTCTGTTGTCCAGACTGGAGTGCAGTGGCACCATTCCAGTTCACTGCAACCTCTGCCTCCAGGTTCAAGTGATTCTCCTGCCTCAACCTCCCGAGTAGCTGGGATTACAGGCATGCGCCACCATGCCCAGCTAATTTTTGTGTTTTTAATAGAGACAGGGTTTCACCATGTTGGCCAGGCTGGTCTCGAACTCCTGACCTCAAGTTATCCACCAGCCTTGGCCTCCCAAAGTGCTGGGATTACAGGCATGAGCCACCACACCCGGCTTGTAATTTATTTTAGAAGACACGTATATTAAAATGGAGATCTAATAAATACAACCGTAATAAAAATAAATCCCGAATGAATGGCATTGTCAGAAGGAGTAGTGCCAGCACACAATAGGCACACAGTAACTCCAGGACATCTTCTTACTGTCATCCCTCATCTGGATTACTGACAACAGCCCCTGACTCTTCCCTTCCCCCAAAGGTACCACACACCACCCCGTGGCCTGTCTTTTTGTGGTCAAAGTGAGATTTCTACAATGCAAATTTGCTGCCATTCCTCTTCTTTCGCAATCATTCCCCGTTGCTTTCAGGGTGAAGTCCAGACTCCCTGGCATGGCATACAGGGACACTGGCCACCACTTCCATGACCTCTGCAGGTTTTCTCACCCTTTCAGCTGCCCTGAAAATACAGTGTCCCTGTAGCTCTGCACGTGTCATTCTCTTTGCTGGGAATACCCTTTCCCCTCTTCCTGCTCTTCTTTGAAAACTCCCTGCCCCCTCCCTTAAAAAAAATTGAGGTAAAAGATGCATAATGTAAAATGTACCATTTTAACAATTTTTAAGTGTAGCGTTAAGTATACTGACACTGTTTTGCAACCATCAGCACCATCCTTCTACAGAACTTTTTCGTATTGCCAGACTGAAACTCCCACTAAACAGTAACTCCGCAGCCCCTCATAACCACCAATTCACTCACTGCTTTTCTCTCTGAGTTTGGCTACTCTCTCCATCTAAGTGGAGTCATACAATATTTGTTCTTTGATGTCTGGCTTATTTCACTTAGCATAATGCCTTGAGGGTTTATCCATGTTATAGCATGTGTCAAAATTTCATTCCCTTTTTTTTTTTTCTTTGGAGACGGAGTCCTGCTCTGTTACCCAGGCTGGAGTGCAGTGGTGCAATCTTGGCTCACTGCAACTTCCACCTCCCGGGTTCAGACAATTCTCTTGCCTCAGCCTCCCGAGTAGCTGGGACTACAGGCATGCACCACCATGCCTGGCTAATTTTTTTATATTTTTAGTAGAGATAGGGTTTCACCATGTTGGCCAGGCTGCTCTCAAATTCCTGACCTCAGGTGATCCACCTGCCTTGGCCTCCCGAAGTGCTGGGATTGCAGGCGTGAGCCTCCACGGCCAGCCTCATTCTTTTTTAAGAACAAATAATATTCCATTGTATGGGTATGGATATACCACATTTTGTTTATCCATTCATCTCATCCACCAATGGACATTTAGCTTGTTTTCACCTTGTGGCTACTGTGAATAATTCTGCTATGAACATGGGTGTGTAAATATGTGAGTCCCTGCTTCATTTCTTTTGGATATATATCCAGAAGTGGAGGGCCACTTTGTTTTATATTTTATTTTATTTTATTTTATTTTTTGAGACAAGTTCTTGCTCTGTCACCCAGGCTGGAGTGCAATGGTGTGATTCAGCTCACTGCAACTTCTGCCTCCTGGGTTCAAGCAAGTCTCCTGCCTCAACCTCCTGAGTAGCTGGGATTACAAGTGCCTGTCACCATGCCTGGCTAATTTTTGTGTCTTTAGTAGAGATAAGGTTTCACCATGTTGGCGGGATGGTCTCAAACTCCTGACCTCAAGTAATCTGCCCATGTTGGCTTTTCAAAGTGCTGGGATTACAGGCATGAACCACCATGCCCAGACGGCCAGTTTGTTTTAAATAGAAAAATTCAAAACTGTCATCCAGTCCTCAGCTGCCTCTTCTCCCCACCCAGCGCCCCATGAGTGGTTCTAAGAACTTCTGTCCCTGACTCTAAGGACAACCAGGAGACAATGTGAATGACTCAGTGACAGACTGTTCACATAATGCCAAACCACTTACTTCCCCAGAGCTACCTGCCTTGCCTTGGGAGGTAGTGAGCTCCTTGTCATTGGCAGTGTGCAAGCAGCAGAGCATGGCCAGATGCTTTCTGTGTGGTTCTTCATTGGAAAGAGAATGGATTCGTTGAATGCCAAGGAACCTTGCAGCTGTAAGACTCTAAGGCCCAGGGCTTCTTAAATTCTGAGTTCTTCGTTCTGAGAACCTGGGCTGGTGCTAAGATTCAGCCACTGTAAGTGTTCTGGGGCTTTTCCGTTGCTGCCCTTGAGCGCATCTGCAGGAAGAGGGGAGTGGTTGGAATCGTAGTGTGGGAACCGTTTTCCAGTCTGCCTGCCTTTCACGCTGCATCACAAGCATTATTCCATGTTGCTCTGGAGCCAGGGACTCCGTCTTTCTGGCTCTGTAGCGTTCCGTGGAGTGAAAGGGCCACAGCTGTCCCCAGGTGTTAGACATTTAGGTTATTTGTAGTTTCTTGAGACTCCAATAGGCTCACAAAACCTAAAACTTATTTAAGTTTTTTCTTTATATAAAATCTTTATATTTGTAAATTTAACTTAATTGAAGTATTATTTATATACAAGTATTATTTATATACAATTAATTATATACAATTTATATACATTTAATTTACCTACATATTTGCCCCATTCAGCAGAGACGTCCGTTTTATGGCGTACCATGGTGTATTGATGGGTGTTTTGTTATTTTCAATTTTCCCCTAGTGGCCAGGCATGGTAGCTCATGCCTATAATCCCAGCACTTTGGAAGGCCAAAGTGGGAGGATCCCTTGAGCCCAGGAGTTCGAGACCAGCCTGGTCAACATGAGAAAACCCTGTCTCTACCGAAAAATACAAAAATTAGCCAGGTGTGGTGGTGCATGCCTGTGGTCCCAGCTGCTTGGGAGGCTGAGGTCGGAGGATAGATATCCAGAAGTGGAGGGCCACTTTGGAGCCCAGGAGGTTGAGGCTTCAGTGAGCTGAGATCACACCACTACACTCCAGCCTGGGTAACAGAGCCAGACCCTTTCTTGAAACAAAACCCAAGAAACCAAAACCAAAAATTAGCTGGGCATGGTGGCTGGTGCCTATGGTCCCAGTTACTCGGGAGGCTGAGGTGAGAGGATTGCTCGAGCCCCAGAGGTGGAGGTTGCAGTGAACTGAGATGGCACCACTACACTTTAGTCTGGGTGACAGAATGCGGCCCTGCCTCAAAAACAATTTTTTCCCCTATTATTTTCCTATTATGATCAGTGCCACAATGAATTTCCGTGTGTTTGTGTTTATGTGCACACATCTACCCTTACTCCCATGGTCTGGCATTTCTGTAGGAAGAGATTTAAATATATATAAAATGACATTTTGGTCAAATGGAAGAGGTTCTTGTAGGAACCATTCCGGGGTGGAGTGAATGCACCAAGGTGGATGAACATTTCCAAGGATGCTCTGGAAGCAGTGTGTGTTTTTCTCTTTGACCTGGTCTCTCTGACTGCTGATCAGGCCCTTGGAAATCCTGAGGTTTCAGGCATCAGGAACACCTGGAGGTTTGATCTTTAAGAACCAGAGCGAACTGAAAGGCCACGCGCTCTGAAAGCGGAACAGCTTTCTTGTGTCTTAGATGTCTCAAATTGAAATTAAATGGTAACAAGCCAGAGTCAGGACCTGACGGGGCACCCGGGCACCTGGCTCCTGAGATCAGTACCCACTGGCCTCACTTGGTTTTCTGGTTTTGGGGTTTTTGTGTGTGTGTGTGTGTGTTGCTTTTTTGTTTTTTCATCACTGGAATGTATTTAAATTAAATGAGATGACCATCAGTGAATTAGCAAACTGGGAACCAGCGTAGTCCTATAGGCAGAGCCTGGCCCTTGGTGCACACAGATCTGAATTTGCATCCCAGCTCCTCAGCCTACTTGCTGTGTGACCTTGGTCATGCCACCTATCTGTCTCAGTTTTCTCATTTGAAAATGGGAAGTTACCACAAAATTCATAGCATCAGTGAAGCTTAATGTAGATAAAGTGCTTATTAGAGAGCCTGAGACTGAGTAACCCTCTGTAAATGGCAGCTGTCACTAATACTACTTGAATCTCAGTGCTGTTATCAACTTGCTGTATGGCCTCTGGTAAGTCTCTTAGCCCCTCTGGTCTCAATTTCCACATCTATAAAATGGGACTAATAACCCGCTCTATCTGATAACCAGAATGTTCTTTATAGCAGGGGTCCCCAACCCCTGGGCCATGGACCAGTATCTATCCATGGCCTGTTAAGAACTGGGCCACACAGCAGGAAGTGAACAGCAGGTGAACAAGCATTACTGCCTGAGCTCTGCCTCCTGTCAGATCAGTGGCAGCTTTAGATTCTTATAGGAGTGCGAACCCGGTTGTGAACTGTGCATTCTAGGGATCTAAATTGCGTGCTCCTTATGAGAATCTAATGCCTGATGATCAGAGGTGGAATAATATCATCCCAAAACCATATTTGCCCCCTGCCAGCACCCCTGCTGCCATCTGTGGAAAAGTGTCTTCCCTGAAACTGGTTCCTGGTGCTAGAAAGGTTTGGGACCACTGCTTTATGGCTATAAAACATTTTTCAGGCGTTTCTTATCCTCTCACCCACCAAAACAGCCACGGATAGGAGGCAGGTCTTGGGGTGGCAGCTGCAAGATGTAAACAGAAGTTGCTGGACAGGTAGACTGTTTTGATTTAGACCATGAGGAATAGTTTCGTTTCCAAAGCATTTTGTTTAGCATCTGTGTGAGCGAGAGAGAGGCTAGGAGCATTTCTAGTCTGGGGGAGAGTAGGAGGGGAGGCAGATACCTCCCAGCAGGGCATGCTGTGTGCCTTGTGACCAGTCCAGAAAGAAGGGCGGAGGTCTGTGAGGAGCAAGGGGCCCCTGCCAGCCTGCTCTCTTCAAAGCTCATCTTTCAATTCCTGACCCTTGGCTCCAGCCCCTCGAGTGGGTGCCCACTGCTCTTAGGATGAAAACCAGGGTCCTGTTCCTGACTGCTGGTGCCTATGTGGTCTGGCCTTGCCAGCCTGTCTAACCTCATACTCACCGCTGACTGTCTGCACACCAAGCTTTGGCCACAAGGGCCTTCTTTCTATTCCTCAAATGCCCAGCCCCTACCCACCCCAAAGCCACCTGTCTGAAACTTTCTTTCCTCCCTTTGGTCTGGCAGTGTCTCCTCATCCCTCTGCTCTCAGATTATTATTTTATTTAAAAATATTTCTTTCTAAAAGGCCAGGTGCAGTGGCTCACGGCTGTAATCCTAGCACTTTGGGAGGCTGAGTGGGCAGATTGCTTGAGCCCAGGAGTTTAAGATCAGTCTGGGCAATGTGGTGAAACTCCATCTCTACAAAAAATACAAAAATTAACCAGGCATGGTGGTGTGTGCTTGTTGTCCCAGTTACTCGGGAGGCCGAGGTGGGAGGATGGCTTCAGCCCAGGAGGCAGAGGTTGTAGTGAACTGAGATTGTGCCACTGCACTCCGGCCTGGGTGACAGGGCAAGACCCTGTCTCAAACAACAACAACAGCAAAACAAAAGCAAACAAGAAAAACCTTCTTTTTAAAATATCCGGTCTCGCTATGCTGCCCAGGCTATTCTCCAACTCCTGGGCTCAAGCGATCCTCCTGCCTTGGCCTCCCAAAATGCTGGGATTACAGGTGTGAGCCACCGCGCCTGGCCTGCTCTCAGCTTAAAAGTCACTTCTTCAAGGAGGGCTTCCCTGACAAGCCACCCTCAATCAAACCTAGGCCGTGTTAGCACTCTTCTGGCAGTGGGCACACGTCCTTCTTAGCACTTGTCACGATGTGAGTCACGATTTTAGTGTTTTTCCTGCTTGTGTAGGCTCTAGGAGGGCGGGGCCTATGTCTCTTGCTCTCTAGGCTCTTAAATCCCTGAGTGAGGAGTAGGGGCTGTTTAGGGGAAGATAAAGTTTATCAGAGGTATCTGGATGTGGGGCTTGTTTCCTCAAAGGCTGGGCTGTGGACTGGGCTCCCAGGAGGGAGAGTCTCCATTTCAGGTGTGGTGTAGTGTGGCATCACCAGCCCCTGAATGATTTCAGCCAGCCCAGGGGAAGGGCTGACCGCAACTGGGGCAAAGGACCCTGGAGAGGGAAAGGGTTAGACCGCCACCTGCTGTCTAGTGCTGGTACAGCCTCAGAGCCGAAAATCATTCCGTTCATCGGACTGATGTTTATTATGCACTTGCTGTTTTCTGAGGTCTTAGCATGTGACTGGTACTATGCTAAACACTTCACGTTCCTTCAACAGATAGCCTGTAAGCTCCTGCTGTGTGACAGGCACTGTTCCAATTTCTAGGAATATTACAATGAACAAAACACAAAAATTCCTGCCCTGCTGGAAAGCGGAGGCTGACAAAACATAAAGCCTCGCTGACGGCAGGAAGTCCCGGGGGTGGGGGGGAGGGAAATTAAGTGGGGAAGGGGAAAGGGAGCCCATGGGGGCTACAATATGGAATTTCCATTTCATTCTCACAACTGCTTTGTGAGGAGTACATACCACTATGTTACGGAAGAGGACACTGAGGTACAGAGAGGTTGAGTGACTTGTATAAGGTCACAAAGGTAATCAGTGATGGCTGGCTTTGTGATTTTTTTTTTTAAAAACCACTCTCCCTTCATAAGAAACAGTGTGACCTGCTGGCTCTCTCTCTCAAGCCACAGTATCACTTGAGATAGACCCAGGTTTGAGTCTGGGTTCTGTGGTTACTGGCTGTGTAGCCCTATATGACCCAGCCTCCCTCTCGGACCTGAAGTTCAATGGGCTGGTGTCTGGGGAACAGTGTGCTCCTGCCTAGCGCAGCACAAATCCGCTGACCTCTGGGCAGGTGGTGGGAGGTGTGCGCTTGGGCAGTGAAGAGGAGAGGGGAGAGTGACAGTGCTGTCTTGCAGGCGTCCTGCCTCTGCGGCTCTGCCCCCTGCATCCTGTGCAGCTGCTGCCCTGCCAGTCGCAACTCCACCGTGAGCCGCCTCATCTTCACGTTCTTCCTCTTCCTGGGGGTGCTGGTGTGCATCATTATGCTGAGCCCAGGCGTGGAGAGTCAGCTCTACAAGGTGAGTGCCCCAGGGGTGGCAGGGCGGCCTCCAGTGAGGGGCCTCAGTGGCTCCAGGATAGAGGGTCCAGGCTTGGGGTCACAGCTCATCCAGAAGAGGAGGCAGGGTGTTTGGGTGCACTGATGATCTGAGGTTGGAAATGAGGGGAGGAGGGCTTGAGCCTCTTGTGGGGATTCTTCTTTCTCTTAGGCCACAGTCTCCTTGGAAAGTCTTATTGATCATTATTGGCCCCCTGGACACTGGCCTAGTGGATGCTTTTCTCCCGCTTAGTGCTCAAGCCCAGGTTGGGGCTCCTAACTCTTCCCTTCATCTCAGTGTTTTACAGCCAAGCACAGACCCAGGGGGACGTGGGCATCACCATGCATGCCTTATACACATTTTAGTTTATATAAAGATGAGACTCCCTGAGGAGTTTGTAGAAATGCAGGTTCTCAGACCCCACCTTGAGGCTCTATTCCATGGGAGAGGGGCCTCAGAATCTCTGTTTTCCCAAGCATCTCAGGTGGTTCTGATATAGGTGGTGGGTGGAGAACACTTTGGGAACCCCTGCTTTATTGATTGATTGATTGATTGAGGTGGAGTCTCGTTCTATCACCCAGGCTGGAGTGCGTTGGCGCGATCTCTCTGGAAGCTCCGCCTCCTGGGTTGACGCCATTCTCCTGCCTCAGCCTCCTAAGTAGCTGGGACTACAGGCACCCGCCACCAAGCCCGGCTAATTTTTTTTTTTTTTTTTAATTTTTGGTAGAGATGGGCTTTCACCATGTGAGCCAGGATGGTCTCGATTTCCTGACCTCGTGATCTGCCCACCTCGGCTTCCCAAAGTGCTGGGATTACAGGCGTGAGCCACCATGCCCGGCGGGAACCCCTGCTTTAGACAGCGCAATAGTTACTGAGGCTATGGGAAATAAACATTAACGATGTAATTGGGGAGCTGCCTCCCAGGGCTTCAGCCCCAGAGAGGGCTAGGAATGGAGGTGGAGGCAGTGGAGACAGAGGTGGGGGGCTCCCCTCCCTGCCTGGTCCAGTCCCTGCTGGGAGAGCCTCTTTCCTGGCCAGCCTTGGGAGATCAGGGCTTTGGTTTATAAAGGGAGCTGCCAGGGTTCTGTGTGGGGTGGGGCCTTGACGCTGCTCTGTCTGTCTCCACAGCTGCCCTGGGTGTGTGAGGAGGGGGCTGGGATCCCCACCGTCCTGCAGGGCCACATCGACTGTGGCTCCCTGCTTGGCTACCGCGCTGTCTACCGCATGTGCTTCGCCACGGCAGCCTTCTTCTTCTTTTTCACCCTGGTCATGCTCTGCGTGAGCAGCAGCCGGGACCCCCGGGCTGCCATCCAGAATGGGTGAGAGAGGGGTCCCTGCCTGCACCCTGGGACCTTCCCCCAGTGCCTTGCCTGCTCCTCTGCCTGTTCACGGATCTGCACAGCATGCAGAACAACTCTGAGTTATATCCATTTCTCAGATGAAGAGTAAGGCTCAGAAAGGGTGGCAGCAAGCCTCAGGCCCTGCAGCACTTCAGTGACACAGCTGGGGCTGGACCTGGGTGACCACCCTCACCGCTGCTTGGTCCTTCCTCCTGCCCTTTAGCATTTTTCCAGGGCCAGGAGAGACTTCCTGTGCCCATCAGACCATCAGACAGCCTATCCTCACCCCTCCCAGCACCTGCTCTTTGTGGGAGGGGGCTCTGGGGCAGGCCCAATCTGACTTCCAGTTTCCCTGCCTGCACTCAGCTTCCTTGTCCATCCCCCACCCTTTCCATAGGTTTTGGTTCTTTAAGTTCCTGATCCTGGTGGGCCTCACCGTGGGTGCCTTCTACATCCCTGACGGCTCCTTCTCCAACAGTAGGCGGGCTTGGCAGGAGGCATGGGGGGCTCTGGGGAGGGAGGCAGGGCAGCAGGTTGGAGGAATGTGGTGGGACTGCTCTTTGCTGGGACACACGAACCCCAGGCTGCTGGCTGGGTCCTTACTCCCCACCCATGAGACAGCACTGTGGTGCCTGGCCACACGGCCTTTGTGCAACCCAGGGGTAGGGGGAGCTGCCTTGCCGTGACCCATATCCTTCCCTCTGTGCATAGCTAGGGGCTCCCTGAGGGCAGGGACTCTGTTCTTCTCAGTGTCCCCAATGCAGGGCGTAGCAGAAACACTTGTTGAATGAGTAGATGTGAGAGAGGGACTCTCCTCGCCTCACTCGCCTCTCCCCACCCAGTCTGGTTCTACTTTGGCGTCGTGGGCTCCTTCCTCTTCATCCTCATCCAGCTGGTGCTGCTCATCGACTTTGCACACTCCTGGAACCAGCGGTGGCTGGGCAAGGCTGAGGAGTGCGACTCCCGCGCCTGGTACGCAGGTCAGTGCTGCCACCCTGCCTCTGTACGGGGACTCGAGCCTGGACAGGGCTGGGGCCGCCTGAGAAATTGAGGGTCTCTGAAGCTAGATAAAACTGGGGGGCATCCCCAGCAGCCACTGCCTTAGGGCAAGATTCTAATTGTCTCAGGCAGATGGGGGGAGCCAGCTGATCCCGGGTGACTTCTGGGGGATCCGAGGAGAGCCGACCTGGAGAGGCCTTGGAGGGGTCTTGTTTGGGGGTTCCTGCAGGGTGGGCCATGCACAGCCAGCAGCGTGTGAAGCCCTTTTGGTAGTGCCCAGGCTGAACTTCAAGTGACACCTGGTCCCTGAAACCCCAGTAGCAGGGTGAGTCCCTGGTTCTCTTTCAGTTCTGAACACAACGAGGAGAAAGGCTCACCTGGGCGCTGTTTGGTTTCCACATCTCCCTAAACTTGCCGGTCTCTCTGGACAGGGAGGGCGGGTCAACAGCAGACCGCTCTGTACCTGGTTCAGTTTTTGCAAGACTGTTTTGAGTTCATTGTATTTATTGTCACAGTTCCCTTATTACAAGGTAGCAGGTGAACCATGTTAGCTCAGGGTGGGGCAATGACTCACAAAGGTGTTGGTGAAAGGTAGTGACATCATTCTTCAGATGGGGAAACCGAGAGCTGGAGAGGGGGAGAGCTGCCAACAAGGCCCCTTGAAGGAGTGGGAGTGCTTATTCCTCCTGCCCCACCCCACACCTACCCTCTCACTAACCCTCTGGCCCAGGCCTCCTCTTCTTCACTCTCCTCTTCTACTTGCTGTCGATCGCGGCCGTGGTGCTGATGTTCATCTACTACACTAAGCCCAGCGGCTGCCACGAGGGCAAGGTCTTCATCAGTCTCAACCTCACCTTCTGTGTCTGCGTGTCCATTGCTGCTGTCCTGCCCAAGGTCCAGGTTAGCCTGCCTGTCCCTCCCCGGCTTGAGGCCCAGCCCCTTGGTGGGTGGGACTTCTTGTAGGAACCCGGGTCCTGGGGCCAGGGCTGTCATCACAGAGGCTCGGCCTGAGTGTGTGGGCTCCCAGGTCAGCCTCCCCAGGTTACAGACAGGCTCTCATGGCTTCATGCTGGGTGTCTTTAGGAGGTGCCCTAACCTCTCTCTGCCTCTCAAATATAAAATGGAGATAATAAGACCTACTGTTGGAGTTATTCTCAGGATTGAGATCCTATTTGTAAACACTCCATGCCTGGCCTGTAGATTTCCCTCAGACATTAGCTATTATTGTAGTTATTATTGTTGTCATTTTTGTTTTTATGCAAATCAGTAGAACATTACAGGGAGTCCCTGGGTGATGATTCCTAGACACCTCTGGAAGTAGCGTAGGAAGGTGCAATTTCACATTTCCAATCCAAGACCATCTGGAATAATGGGCAGGAGCTCCCAGAGGAACTGCGTGTTCTTCAGAAAGTACCGCTGGAGCCCCTTGTGAGTCCAGTGGTGCTTTGCGGTTTGAGATCTCAGCACACCAGCAGCTTCAAGGGGCTTAGGTAGTCTTCGGGGGTCTTTAGCAGAAAGGCTAGGAACCTTCCTTCTGGTCAGACTCTTATTTCCCAGTAAGAAAAGTTGAAGCCCAGAGAAGGTAATATCTGTATCCCAGGTCACACAGCAATCAGTATTTATGCAGCAGATACCTCTCGAGCACTTCTGTGTACCAGGCCCTCTTCTAGATGTTGGAGATATGGCTGTGAGGAAGGGAGGAAGCAATAATGATGATAGCCAGTAGTTAGTGGCCTCGGACTTGTTATTTGATCCTCACGCCATCCTCATCCTCACTTTACAGGTGAGGAAACGAAGGCTTAGAGAAGAGGCCTAGCCAAGGTCACATGGGGAACTGGGATTCGAACCCAGGCGGACTGGCTCCAGAGTCTGTGCTCTGGTTTTCTTTTTTCTTTTTCTTTTCTTTCTTTTTTTTTTTTTTGGAGAAAGGGTCTGGCTCTGTTGCCCAGGCTGGAGTGCAGTGGTGTAATCTTGGCTCACTGCAACCTCTGCCTCCCAGGTTCAAGCGATTCTCGTGCTTCAGCCTCCCAAGTAACCAGTGATCTGCCCACCTCAGCCTCCCAAAGTGCTGGGATTACAGGCATGAGCCACCACACCTGGCCTAAAATTTTTTTTGTTTTTGGTTTTTTGAGACAGAATCTTGCCTGTCACTTAGGCTGGAGTTCAGTGGTGTGATCTTGGCTCACTGCCACCAACCTCCGCCTCCCAGGTTCAAGTGATTCTCATGCCTCAGCCTCCCAAGTAACTTGGATTACAGGTGCCCGCCACCACACCCAGCTAATTTTTGTATTTTTAGTAGACAGGGTCTTGCCATGTTGGCCAGGCTGGTCTTGAACTTCTGAACTTCTGGTTTCAAACAATCTGCCCGCCTCAGCCTCCCAAAGCGCTGGGATTACAGGCATGAGCTGCCATGCCCAGCCGCCTGTGCTCTTAATCACAGAGTTTAGGTCCATGTTTTTAAGTGCATGTGTGGTGAGGGGTGGGGAAGGACAGGCAACAGGGGACTAGGCCCAGTGAGGTGATTTTGGGTAATATGTGCAATGTGGACATGAGAGAGGGTGTGGGCTGAAAGGTAGGTGGCTGGCAGGTACAGGGCTGCTGTAGTCAGGGTTCCTAGGGCTCCATGGGAGTCCTGTCTGCATACTGAAGAGAGGCTGCCTGTGCGGAGATGCTGGGAAGGAATATGTCAGAGGGAGGGCACAGCGAAGGCAAAGGCCCTGCAGTGGGAGAGGCTGGGCAGACTCTCCAGATAGAGAGCAGGGAGGAGCCGGGCAGCGGGCCAGGCAGAGATGAAGGAATTCAGAGTGTGATGAGATGGGTTTTCAGCAGGGGAGGAGGGCGGGTAATCTGAGGGGTGTTAAGAGAAAGAAGAATTAGGACTCAGCCTTTGGTTAGTGAGGTGGGTGGTAGGTGGCCTGGCTGGTGTTTTCCCTAAGTGGGGTGTGGTGGGGTATCCTAGGTGGGTGGGAGCTTCTGAGGTCCCTTGGCTGGTGTGAGTGGGCAGGGTGGGGTGGGGTGTCTCTGGTCCGGCAGGGATCTTATCAGTGAACGACTCTTGCCAGGACGCCCAGCCCAACTCGGGTCTGCTGCAGGCCTCAGTCATCACCCTCTATACCATGTTTGTCACCTGGTCAGCCCTATCCAGTGTCCCTGGTGAGTATGGGCCCAGGCTCAAGGAGGCCTGGCCTCGTTCCTGGGTCAGCATCGGCCTGCTGTGGGGCTGGGGACCCTCACAAGTGACAGGGACATCCCTGCTCCAGCCCATTCTGAGACTCAGTCCTCCCATGAGATGGGAGGGCCCGTCTGTTCCTGAGTTGTCTCTCTGCCCTTGTGACTGCTGAGCACTCTGTTGCTGGGAGTGGGGTGGTTGGCTGTGCATCTGTCTGTCTATTGGGGTGGCTCTCTAGCCATCCTCAGGGCCACTTGGCTACCTAGGCCTGGCCTACATGGACTGAGGGTGATTGTGCTCTCATCCCCAGAACAGAAATGCAACCCCCACTTGCCAACCCAGCTGGGCAATGAGACGGTCATGGCAGGCCCTGAGGGCTATGAGACCCAGTGGTGGGATGCCCCGAGCATTGTGGGCCTCATCATCTTCCTCCTGTGCACCCTCTTCATCAGGTATGGCCAGGTCTGGATTCTGGGGAAGGATCATGATTCGGGGCCCTGAGCCAGAGTGAGGGGAGGGTGTGGGAGCCAGGATACCAAGCTGGAAGGTGCTCTTCGAATTCAATGTGTCCCACTCTTGCATTGTGCGGGAGGAGAAACTGAGTCCCTCAGAGGACACGGCTTGAATGGGCAACAGAGGTGGGCGTGACCTTGCCTTCTGGCTCATGGCCCTTTCCTGCATACTGGGCCAGTTCAGTTCGGTACAGACAGCTGTGGGGTCAGGGAAGGAGCATGGACTGGGGTCGGTGGATCCAGGGACTGTTTCTCATCTGCTGTGTGGCTTGGGGTAAGTGGCTAAACCTTTCTGAGCTCCTGTTTCCTCCTCAGTAAGAAGAGGATGACAACCTCCATTGTAGTGGATGTGTCTGTGACCCAACACGCTCCCCTGAGACAAGGCAGCTCATGCTGAAGGTCACATAGCGGCTCTTTTCAAAGGGCTTAACATCTTAGTAGGTGTTTATCCGTGTGGACTCCGCAGCCAGACTGCCTGCATTTGAGCCTAGCATTGCCACTTACTGGCTATGTGATCCTGGGCAAGTCACTTAACCTCTCTAGCCTCAATTTCCTTGTCTGTAAAATAGAGATAAAAATAGTACCTCCCTCATTGGATTGTTGAAGGGCTATAGATGAATCAGTATGTGTAAAACACATATAAAGGGGCCAGGTGTGGTGTCTCACACTTGTAATCCCAGCACTTTGGGAGGCCAAAGTGGGAGGATCTCTTGGGCCCAGGAGATTGAGACCAGCCTGGGCAACATAGTGAGACCCTGTCTTTTTTAAAAAAATTAACAAAACAAAACAAAAACACTTAGAAAGGAACTTGGCAAGTAGTAAGTTATTTGTAATCCAAACACTTTGCCACGCTGAAGCAGGAGGATTGCTTGGGCCCAGGAGTTTAAGGCCAGCCTAGGCAACATAGTGTCTCTAGAAAAAAAAAGTTTTGTAATTAGTCAGGCATGGTGGTGTGCACCTTGTAGTTCCAGTGACTGAAGAGGCTGAGGTGGGAGGATTGCTTGAGCCTAGGAGTTTGCCAGATTAAGTGTTGCATATTGTTGTGAACATTTGCATAATATTGTTAACATTTGTATATTAGTATGAACATAATATTGTGAACATTTGCACAACTAGGTAGCTGTGGGTGGCTGTTCTTATGAGTCACTAGATCATAAGATTAGGTTTAATTATTGTTTACACTGCATCTGGCAGACCCTGAGTTTGCTTCCCTGTGACCCTGCATTTCTCCAGGCGCCACTTTCCATCTGCCCTTAACTCTAGAGGGAATCTTGGCTCTGCTCCCCTGATCTTTCCCCATCCATCCATCCCAGTTCCAACAGCACCCCTGCCTCCAGGCCCCTGGGCTAGATCATTTTAAGACTCTTTCACATTTTGTTCTGTTTTGGCCTTTTTCAAAACATTTTCTCTAAGTCAGTTCTGTACAGTTCATAAACATGTGTCTTCTTTGTCACATTTGATTCCTTTTCAAGCTGGAAAGGCTTGAAGTACCTCTGTGTCCTCTCCTCTACCTTTCCCTCCCCTCCCCTCCCCTCCCCTCCCCATTCCTCTCCCTTTTCTTTTTTGAGACAGGGTCTTCCTGTCACCCAGGCTGGAGTGCAATGGCACGATCACAGCTCACTGTCACCTCAAACTCCTGGGCTCAAGTGATCCTCCCACCTTAGCCTCCTGAGTCTCTGAGACTACAGGTGCATACCACCATGCCTGGCTACTTAAAAAACTTTTTTTTTTTCTTTTGTAGAGACACTATGTTGCCCAGGATGGCCTTTAACTCCTGGCCCTAGCAATCCTCCTACCATAGCCTACCAAAGTATTTGGATTACAGGAGTGGACCACTCCTGGCCTGATTACCTTGATTTTACAGATAGGGAAACTGAGACCCAGGGAGGAGGCCATGAGCACACAGTGGCCGGTGGCTGAAGAGCTTGGAAATCTTTCCCTGCCCCTGGTTCTTTGTCCCTTCCCCTCCCTGACCTGGCACAGCTGTTTTTCCTGCCGCTTCCACACCCACAGCTCCTGGCACATGCACTGCTGAGAGCCTGGGGCACAGGTCTGTTCTTAGCATGGTTCTTACAGCACAGGCAGCAAAGAAGCGTATGTAACCCATGAGGGCCAGGACCACCCAATCTGGGCTCATGCGTGAGATATCCATATGGTATTTGGTAGATAGGGTAGGTAGGGTGGGTAGGGTGGATAGGGTGGTTAGGGTGGGTAGGGTGGATAGGGTGGTTAGGGTGGATAGGGTGGATAGGGTGGGTAGGGTGGATAGGGTGGATAGGGTGGATAGGGTGGATAGGGTGGGTAGGGTGGATAGGGTGGATAGGGTGGATAGGGTGGTAGGGGGTAGGGTGGATAGGGTGGGTAGGGTGGATAGGGTGGTAGGTGGATAGGGTGGTAGGGGGTAGGGTGGATAGGGTGGATAGGGTGTGTAGGTGGATAGGGGTGGGTAGGGTGGTAGGGTGGTAGGGTGGTAGGGTGGGTAGGGGGGTAGGGTGTGTAGGGTAGGTAGGGTGGATAGGGTGGGTAGGGTGGGTAGGGTCTGTAGGGTAGGTAGGGTGGATAGGGTGGGTAGGGTGGGTAGGGTGTGTAGGGTGGGTAGGGTGGATAGGGTGGATAGGGTGGTTAGGGTGGGTAGGGTGGGTAGGGTGGATAGGGTGGTAGGGTGGTAGGGTGGTAGGGTAGGTAGGGTGGATAGGGTGGTAGGGTGGATAGGGTGGTTAGGGTGGATAGGGTGGTTAGGGTGGTTAGGGTGGTTAGGGTGGGTAGGGTGGATAGGGTGGATAGGGTGGGTAGGGTGGGTAGGGTGGATAGGGTGTGTAGGGTAGGTAGGGTGGATAGGGTGTGTAGGGTAGTAGGGTGGATAGGGTGGGTAGGGTGGGTAGGGTGTGTAGGGTAGGTAGGGTGGATAGGGTGGTTAGGGTGGGTAGGGTGGGTAGGGTAGGTAGGGTGGTAGGGTGGGTAGGGTGGATAGGGTGGTTAGGGTGGTTAGGGTGGGTAGGGTGGGTAGGGTGGTAGGGTAGGTAGGGTGGATAGGGTGTGTAGGGTAGTAGGGTGGATAGGGTGGGTAGGGTAGTAGGGTGGATAGGGTGGTTAGGGTGGGTAGGGTGGGTAGGGTAGGTAGGGTGGGTAGGGTAGGTAGGGTGGATAGGGTGGTTAGGGTGGTTAGGGTGGGTAGGGTGGGTAGGGTAGGTAGGGTAGGTAGGGTGGATAGGGTGTGTAGGGTAGTAGGGTGGATAGGGTGGGTAGGGTGGGTAGGGTGTGTAGGGTAGGTAGGGTGGATAGGGTGGTTAGGGTGGGTAGGGTGGGTAGGGTGGGTAGGGTGTGTAGGGTAGGTAGGGTGGATAGGCTGGGTAGGGTGTGTAGGGTGGGTAGGGTGGATAGGGTGGTTAGGGTGTGTAGGGTAGGTAGGGTGGATAGGGTGGTTAGGGTGTGTAGGGTAGGCAGGGTGGTTAGGGTGAGTAGGGTGTGTAGGGTAGGTAGGGTGGATATGGTGGATAGGGTGTATAGGGTAGGTAGGGTGGATATGGTGGATAGGGTGTATAGGGTAGGTAGGGTGGATATGGTGGATAGGGTGTATAGGGTAGGTAGGGTGGATAGGGTGTGTAGGGTAGGTGGGGTGGATAGGGTATGTAGGGTAGGTAGGGTGGAGAGAGTGAATAGGGTGGGTAGGGCGGAGAGGGTGGATAGGGTGGGTAGGGTGGGTAGGGTGGTTAGGGTGGATAGGATGTGTAGGGTAGGTGGGGTGAATAGGGTGGATAGGGTGGGTAGGGTAGATAGGGTATGTAGGGTAGGCAGGGTGGAGAGGGTGGATAGGGTGGTTGTAGGGTAGATAGGGTGGGTAGGGTGGATAGGGTGTGTAGGGTAGGCAGGGTGGAGAGGGTATGTAGGGTGGGTAGGGTGAATAGGGTAGGTAGGTTGGGTAGGGACGCACTGATGCACAGCAAGGGGTGATTTCTCAATTTGCTGGTGTGGTGGGACTAGAATCCAGCTCTCCTTCTTTTCACTTTTTTTGGAAATGGGAGTTGGTTTTTCAAAAATTTTTATGTCTCAAACTATCAAATTCTGTTGAAAACATCAAGGCTTATCGCAGAAAGCATGACATACAATCATTACTGCTGTTCTTTTTAGTGTAAGCACGAAGGGAAGGGAGGTCATTGGTAAAACCACCTGACACTAATAAAATGGAAACTTAATGGCAAACGAGTGTGATTAATTATTAACATTCTTAATGGATGTAGTACCTGGTATGGTGCTTTGTAGTATTAGGTACTCGATACGTGTTTATGGAAATGGCAAAGGCACAATCCTAACAACAGTGACTGTTGATTGAATTTATATTCTGTGCCAAACACTATGCTAGAGACCTTATGTCATTATTCCATCTAGTCCCCCCAGCAGTCCTCTAGAGCAGTTACGATTATCCCTTATTTTACAGACAAGGAATCAGAGGCTCAGAGAGGTTAATTGTTTTGCTCAAGGTCACACAGAAAATGGGAGTGGGGGTAGGGGTAGAGTTGAGAGGCAAAGCAGTTTGTTAACTCCCGGGCCCAGTAACCGGGTCGCTGGCCTCTGAGGCTCTGGGACCATTTGTGTCCAGTGTTATGACCAACGCCAGGGCTATCTATTTGCCCACCTTCCTCCCTCCCCTGCAGTCTGCGCTCCTCAGACCACCGGCAGGTGAACAGCCTGATGCAGACTGAGGAGGGCCCACCTATGCTAGAGGCCACACAGCAGCAGCAGCAGCAGGTGGCAGCCTGTGAGGGCCGGGCCTTTGACAACGAGCAGGATGGCGTCACCTACAGCTACTCCTTCTTCCACTTCTGCCTGGTGCTGGCCTCACTGCACATCATGATGACGCTCACCAACTGGTACAAGTGCGTAGCCCGGTGGGGCATGGACAGAACCCAGGGGTGCGGGGTGCAGGTCTACACATCTCTCCTCACTGGGTTTTCCTGATGTCTGCTTAAGGCTTGGGGGTGGGGGTGTGTATTGAGGACCCTCCATAGAGCCTGCCCCTTCCCTGCTCCAGTTTCCCCACCAGTGCCTTCATCTGCTCAGCTCCCGCACCTTCACTAGGAGACTGAACCGGGGAAGGCACAGCAGCTGGTGCTGGGCCTGTGCAGGGCAGGTGGGGTTTAAAAATCAGGGGTCATGGGGTCAGATTTGGGCTTCATGGTTGGAAGGTTAGGATGAGGATGTGGAGTTCAGAACCAAAGTTACAAGTCAAGGATAGAAGTCATGAGGTTCTAGGGCTGGGATTGTGGTCATTTAGTGTCAAAAATTTGGTCATTTGGTTAAAGTTAAAATTGATAGTAGGAGGCCATAAAGCCAGGATTGAAGTGGCAGGGTCAAGGAGCTAAATGACGGTAATGAGGTCAGGAGCTACTCTTAAGTTACAGGATCAAAGGTCAGAATCAAGGGTAACAGTCAGGACTAAGGTCAGGAGCTCCAGGGTCTGAAGTTCAGAGGCTAGGATTGAGGTCCCAGAATTAGGATCACAAAGTTGGAGACCAGGAGGCAAGTCACGATCTCACGGACTAACACTGGACTCAAGATGGGAGTCGAGGTCAGGAGCTCTGTCCACAGTCACAAGGCCAGGTGTTAAAAATATCAGAGACGGATTGGAGTTACAGTGGAAGAGCCAGAGTTGAAGTCCGGGGTCACAACTGGGTCATAAGGCCAGGGGCCAAGACGGAAGTCACCAGACTGGGCACCGGGCTCATGGGGAAGATGGTGTGTTCCAGGCCGGGCGAGACCCGGAAGATGATCAGCACGTGGACCGCCGTGTGGGTGAAGATCTGTGCCAGCTGGGCGGGGCTGCTCCTCTACCTGTGGACCCTGGTAGCCCCACTCCTCCTGCGCAACCGCGACTTCAGTTGAGGCAGCCTCACAGCCTGCCACCTGGTGCCTCCTGCCACCTGGTGCCTCTTGGCTCAGTGACAGCCAACCTGCCCCCTCCCTGCACCAATCAGCCAGGCTGAGCCCCGACTCCTGCCCCAGCTCCAGGACCTGCCCCTGAGCCAGGCCCTCTAGTCTTAGTGCCTTCAGGGTCCAAGGAGCCCCATCCCCCTGCCACACCCACGTGGTGGAGCTGCCTCTTCCTTCCCCTCCCCGCTGTGGCCCATACTCAGCATCTCGGGATGAAAGGGCTCCCTTGTCCTCAGGCTCCATGGGAGCCAGGCTGCTGGAGACAGCCGCTCAGAGCCGCTGGAGGGCAGAGAGCTCCCACCACAGTGAGGCATCCGGCACTGAGGCCATGGTGTTCCTGGTCACATCCCCCAGGGGACCCTGCCCCCTTCCTGGACTTCGTGCCTTACTGTGTCTCTAAGACTTTGACTAATAAACAAGCCAGTGCATGTACCATGTTCTGTGCCCCTCACCCTCAGCATGGAGCCCCACTGCATGGGGGCCGGTGTGGGGTTTGGGAATGGAATGTTAGGGCAGAGGGGGCTGGGACATCAGGGCCAGACCAGGAGGAGCCTCAAAGGCAGACAGAATGGCCTGGGCTCTGTCTTCTGGGTCATGGAGCGCCTGAGGGGAGGGGGCCAATGAGGAAGGAGGGGCAAACCAGGGTTTTGGGAAAGGGATGTGTCTGGTGGTCAGAAAAGGAGACCCTGGAGGCAGTGGGGCCAGCAGGAGGCTGCCCAACCATCTGATCATCCGAGGAAGAGCAGTGAGAGCGAGTCACGGGGCGTGGAGGGGGCGATGACAGGGCCAGAAGGTGGTCTTCAGGGCCCCTCTCACCAGGGCCTGCCTCAAGGTCCTGCCCACCTCTGACCTGCCTGGAATCATTACCACCTTTGGTACCTGCCCTGATGAATCAAACCCCAGGCCTTGGGGTGCCGTGGGGAGGAGCTCTTGAGTCAGCCAGGCTGGCCCCAATCCCTCTGTACCACGGAAGCCGTGGGGCTGCTGTCCAGCTCCAGATGGGTCCTTCTCTTCCCTGGGCCATTCATTGGGAACGATGCCACCCACTCCTAGGCTGTTGTGAGGATCAGAGGAAGCAGCCCATGCAAACTGCCTGGCACAGCGGGTTCTTGAGAAATAACATCAGCCCCCATCTCGCAAGGGCAGAGAGATGTGAGGGCGACTGACAGGTTCCTGGCTAGGGCCCCAAGGCCTGGTCTTGTTACGACGATGGACCGCAGGCCATTCATCTCTTCCATTTGTGGGGATAAAAAATAGGTATGAAGGTGCTGGGGATGGGTGCTGGGGACACAGCCTGCCTCTAAGGCTCTCCTGGGTTCTGGGGTGAGTGCACTGGTGGGGCTGCACAGGGACCTGTAGGGTCACCGAGGAGGCAGGACAGGCATCTGGAGGATGTGTAGGAGTCAGCTGGGCCAAGAGGAGCCACAGCGCTGAGGGCAGGGGGACAACACAGGAGCTGAGGGTATGGGGTTCAAGGACCAGGGAGAAGCCAAGGTGGCCAGAGCACAGAGATGGGTGAGGTGGGGAGGTTAGTATGAGCTTGGAGACATGGGCCAGGCCAAATCACACAGGCCCTTGAGAGTCATGGTGGGGAGACCTGCTGGTAGTGGGGAGCCATGGAGGGTTTTAGAGCATGGGAGAAGTGCTGAAGGTGTGGGCTGACCATGGAAAGATCCTACATGATTTGGAGCACAGCAGGGGCATGTCATTTTAAGATTGCCGTTTTAGAAAGGTTTTCCTGGATGAGATGGAGGGGAGTGCAGCAGCTGGAGGCAGGTGCCAGGGCTCAGGGCAGAGGGAGTTGGGACCTGCTGGGGCAGGGGCCGAGAGGGCTTCTGTCGCTGCTGGAATGGATCTTGCAGATGTTCTTGTCCCTGATGCCTTTCAGCTAACAGAGACCCCTCTCTTCAGAGCAGCCTGAACCTCCTTCCCCCAATCATAGATTTTGCTGCTTTTCTTATTTCACCCTTGGGAGAAAAAGCCCACATTGTGCTCTTGATAACCTTTTCTTTGCATTTGTGCAAGTGGACCTTTTTTTTTTTTTTTTTTTTTTTTTGAGACTGAGTCTCACTCTGTCACCAAGGCCCGAGTGTGGTGGCACAATCTCAGTTCACTGCAACCTCCGCCTCCCAGGTTCCAGTAATTCTCCTGCCTCATCCTCCTGGGCAGCTGGGATTACAGGCACACACCTCCACGCCCAGCTATATATATATATATATATTTGTATTTTTAGTAGAGACGGGTTCATCATATTGGCCAGGCTGGTCTTGAACTCTTGACCTCAGGTGAGCCACCTGTCTCAGCCTCCCAAAGTGCTAGGATTACAGACGTGAGTCACCACGCCCGGCTTAAGTGGGCAATTTTGTCCAGCTTTTGTAGCCTTGTTGCTTGCTCTATAGGTTTTAAATTATTCATTCAACAAATGTACTGAGCATGAGTTCTTTGCTGGGCTGGGCTGGAGTGGGACTGGCTGGGAAGGGGCAGGGGCCAGGCTGAGGAGCCTGGCTAGGGAGCTGCAGGTCCCCAGTGTGGAGGTCACCACCTTTGGGAAGTCACCTCTAATCCCCCAGGTAGGGCTTACCCCTGTGTCTCCTCAGCCCCTGTTCTTCCCTCCAGGCATTGGCTATGCTCGTGAACCTGCTGGTCGATGTCAGGCCTGACCAGCTGCCCACCTAGGACCCAGGACGTCCACCTAGCCTGTCTGCTGGGTGCCCCCTTGTCTCCTGCTGCCCAGCATCGTGGTTTCCACATACCCTCCTGTCTTCCCTTCTCCTCCATAACCCTCATCTTTCCTCCACCTCTTGTTCTCCATCACCTTTTCTTTCTCAGTCACCTCCTCTTCTCCATCATCCTCTCTGTCACTTCTTTTTCCTCTTACTCTCCTTTGTCACCTCCCCTCCTTTGTCAGTAGGTGGGAGAGGCCCATAGGATTCTGCTCTTTTTGTCTGCCAGCCCCTGACACATTGGGCTTCGCTGCTGGACTGGTAATGGGGAAAACACCGCCCTCGGCCCTGAGGGCCCATGCTCTGCCCCTGGACACTGTGCCACAGTCCCCAGGCCTGGGCAGCTATCACTGCAGAAATACCAGTGGCAGCCGCAGCTCTGCCTGTCCTGGCGCATCTTTGGACCCAGGCTGTGGAATGAGTATCTGGGCAGAGTGAGTGCAAAGCTTATAGGTCATGTCAGGAACAGAGGCAGTGTGGTGCATGCGAGGAGCCTGCCATTCCCAATCCCTGTGCCCTTTTCTGCCTCCATCACCAAGGCTGGAAAAGCCAGGTGGTCACTTTACAGCTTCCCTCAGAGTTAGGAGCCTTCAGGCTAATTAGATCTAAGTGGAAATGTTCATGGACATTTCCAGGAGTTTTTGCTTTCCTGTTACACAGCACTGCTTCTTCCTTCTCCTCTTTGGACACAACCACAGTGCCTGGGGCTGCAGCAGCTGTCTTGGGACAATGAGGCAACAAGTCTGAGGATGAGAAACCAACCTGGAGAAGATGCTGTTCAGAAAAATAGGAAGTTGGCCGGGCGCGGTGGCTCATGCCTATAACCCCAACACTTTGCGGGGCAGAGGCAGGAGGATCACTTGAGTTCAGGAGTTCAAGACCAGCCTGGACAACTGTGAGGTCCCATCTCTACAAAAAATAAAAAATTTGGGCTGGTCACGGTGGCTCGTGCCTGTAATCCCAGCACTTTGGGAGGCCAAGGCGGGAGGATCACGAGGTCAGGAGTTTGAAACCAGCCTGACCAACATGGTGAAACCCCGTCTCTACTAAAAATACAAAAATTAGCTGGGTGTGGTTGTGTGCACCTGTAATGCCAGCTACTCAGGAGGCTGAGGTAGGAGAATCTACCTCAGGAGGCGGAGGTTGTAGTGATCTGAGATTGCGCTACTGCACTCTAGCCTGGCAACAGAGCGAGACTCCGTCTCAAAAAAAAAAAAACCACACACACACGCACACACAAACACAAACAAAACACTTGTAATCCCAGCACTTTGGGAGGCCAAGGTGGGTGGATCACGAGGTCAGGAGATCGAGACCATCCTGGCTAAAACTGTGAAACCCTGTCTCTACTAAAAATACAAAAAATTAGCTGGGCGTGGTGGCGGGCACCTGTAGTCCCAGCTACTCGGGAGGCTGAGGCAGGAGAATGGCGTGAACCCGGGAGGTGGAGCTTGCAGTGAGCCAAGATGGCACCATTACACTCCAGCCTGGGCAACACAGCCGGACCCTGTCTCAAAAAACAAAAAAGGAAAAGGAAAAAAAGTACTGGTCTCAAACTGCTAACCTCAAGTGATCCGCCCACATCAGCCTCCCAAAGTGCTGGGATTACAGGCATGAGCCACTGCACCAGACCTCAAATCCACTCTAAAATAATTTTAGATATAATGCAAGGTTATGGTTTGTTTGTTTGTTTTTACTTTTTCTTTTTGAGACAGAGTCTCACTCTTGTTGCCTAGGCTGGGGCACAATGGTGCAATCTTGGCTCACTGCAACCTCTGCCTCCCGGGTTCAAGCGATTCTTATGCCTCAGCCTCCTGAGTAGCGGGGATTACAGGCATGCGCCACCACACTCAGCTAATATTTTTGTATTTTTAGTAGAGACAGGGTTTCACCATGTTGGCCAGGCTGATCTCAAACCCCTGAGCTGAAGCAATCCACCTGCCTCAGCTTCCCAAACTGCTGGGATTACAGGCATGAGCCGCCACGCCTGGCCTCTCTTTGCATTAAAGCATTCCGTGCAGGGTTTGGATGCATCTTCTTTGACTATGAGCTGTTCTGGAAAACTCAATCACTTTCTCATTTGTTTAACATGCCAGGGTGTGAGGGTTTGGCCAACTATAGCTGAGATGGAACACAGTCCACAAGATCACCCTCACTTCTTCTTCTCCTCGTTTTTTTTTTTTTTTTTTTTAGCTAGAGATGAAGTTCTGCCATGTTGCCTAGGCTGGTCCCCAACTCCTGGGCTCAAGCAATCCACCTGCCTTGGCCTCCCCAAATGCTAGGATTATGGGCATAAGCCACCGTGCCCAGGCAACCACCCTCACTTCTTTTTTTTTTTTTTTTTTTTTGAGACAGAGTCTCACCCTGTCACCCAGGCTGGAGTGCAATGGCGTGATCTCAGCTCACTGTAACCTCTGCCTTCCAGTTCCAAGCGATTCTCCTGCCTCAGCCTCCTGAGTAGCTGGGATTACAGGCGTCCACCACCACACCCAGCTAATTTTTTGTATCTTTAGTAGAGACGGGGTTTCACCATGTTGGCCAGGCCCACCCTCACTTCTGACATCAATTGCAAGTCCAGGAATTTCCAAAACCATCCTTAAATTTTGTTATTCACTAGGACTCACAGAATCCACTGAAAGTTATTGGGCTCAGGGTTATGGTTTATTACAGGGAAAGGATAAAGATTAAGGTCAGTTAAGGGAAGCTGTGCAT